AAACACTGGTGAAACCACTTATCCTTTCCAGGAAAAATTTACCGAGAACTAAAGACTCACAAGAACTGGTAAAAAGAACACGAGCAGAAGCGAGTAGAGAAGATGGAAATTCTAGTGAACCGTCTATGGACCATCCAACTCCGCCTGCTAAACGAGCACGCTGTAAATTTTGCTCTAAAAGGGATAACAAGACTAATATTTTATGTTGTATATGTCATAAACATATTTGTAAAACCCATTCTTTCTATTACTGTCCCAGTTGTAAACTGAATTAAATTTTGTAGATATTTGTTCTTAGGGTTTTCTGGGAAAGAAAAAATGCTTTTTATTTTTGTTAATAAGGTTTAATTTACAGTAACAATATAATTATTGTTTAATTAACTATAATTTTTTATTAATACAGTTTTGTTTAGCACCATTAGCTTATTTTATTTCTATTAGGGAGCGTAAATCATAGTTGGGTCATATTGACCCGAACAGTACATTTGTGTAGTTTACTCGAACGGTACAGCAGGGTTTAAACTCCGAATCAGATTTATCATCCTTGACAGTATTTCTTAAAAATGAGATTGAAATTGACAGCATTAGTTCTAGCCCATCAACTGGTTTAATTTCTAGTAAAACATCAGGTAGTTCATCTCAAAGCACTCAATCTGTAGGTAGAGGACAAAAGAGAAAAAAAAGGAAATTAATTTATTATGTTATTGAAGGTTACATAGCTTGGGGAAAAGTTACTGTAATTATAAAATCGAACGTGTTGCTGAAAAAGTTTTGCTGTTGTGATGTTTAGGCAAAAAATGTGTCAATCAATGTAATAGCTTTAGTACTGAGGACAGAAATAGCATTCTTAAAAAATTTTGGAACCTAGGTAATAATTTAGATAAGAAAAATTGTATTAATGGTTGCGTTAATGTCATTGGTATTCATGTACCTAGAAAGGATAAAGGTTTCACATAAAAAATGGTACGTTTTAATAGTTTTTTTGTTGTTTTTTGAATACTCTTTCAGTTTATTTTCATGTTATACTTAATATAACGTGATAATTATATTAACTTAATTTTTGTATGATATTTTTTTACACCAATATAACTCTAAGAAACTCATAAATATATTGTGTATTGTTTATTTTGTATTATTTGTACTTAATTGTTATGCTTTAAAATGAAAAGATTTATTGTCCATTTTTGTTATAATTCCCTAAAATTAAAAGGCGTACAAGACAGCGACATTTTTTTATCAAAATATTTTTTTCCAAATATGCTAACCGCCTTTCAAAGAGGCTTATACACCACAGAACCTAACATTAAGGGCGTAAGCACCAAAATATTAAATATCTCATGTTTATAATTTTTTTATAACTAACATATGGTAAGTCAAAATGCCTCAGTCCAATAATAATAAAATGCCAAAAAAAAAGTAAAAAAAATAAATATTAATCAATATTAAACGTTTTTTGTGTCTCCTGAAAAAAACTGTCAATGGCGCTTATGCCTTTCTGTCGTGACACTGTCGATATATTATTCTTTGTAGTTGTTCTCCACCAAACTTGATCATTTCTATGCATAGTCATTTTTACCAGAACTTTTGTTATTTTTTATTTCTTGTATTGCTGTCACTACCTTCTCCTATGTAGGCTGCCTTTCAACTATCGCATCTTCTCCAACCGTCCAGTTGTCTTCTGCTTCGTGGTCATTATTTCTGCCGGATCGCTAATAAAATTTCCGTCTTTACCTTTCATATAACTACAGTGGCTTTGGTAACCTTTTTCCATCTTTTTAACTTCTTGATAGAACGACCTCACCTCTTTGTTTTTAAACTTCTCTTCTATCTCTTTTAATTTCAACTCATTGTGGTGGTATCTCTTTTTCCTTCTACACAGAGCTTTCAATCTTCCTCGAATTATTCTATATTCTTGTTTTTACACTCTCTATTATCTGTTAATATTTGTTGTCTGATCTTCTTCTTTTCCTTTGCTATCGCCTGACACTCTTCGTCAAACCAATCTTTGTTTGTACTTCTCTTGGAGTCGCACTTAACTATTTTCTCGCTAGCTTCTCCTACGGCAGATTTAATTTGTTCCCAGGCTTGATCTGTCTGTAAATTTTGGTCACATTGTTGTAGAATTTTATTTATTTCTTCTTCATATTTATTTTTTATTTCTACTTCCTTAAGTTTTTCAATATTGTACTTTCTCTTCGTTTTATTGTTCGATTTCTCTTTTTCTTCCAGCCTCCTCCCACATGTGACTTTAACGAGGTAATGGTCCGAGTCGATTTCAGCTCCTCTCATACTTCTTACCTTCTGAATGATATTCATATATTTACTTTCAATCATAACATGATCTATTTGATTCACCGTCCTTCCATCTGGGGAGACCCACGTACCTTTGTATATCTCTTTTCGTTTTAGTTGTGTGCTTCTCACCACCATGTTTTTCTCCATGGCAAATCCAATAAGTCTTTGACCATTATCGTTTGTTACTTCGTGTTTACTATAGTTACCAGTTACTGCAGTGTACAGAGGTTCTTTTCCCACTTTAGCATTACAATCACCCATTATTATTTTTACATCACGTTTAGGTAGGCGCTCGTATTCATCATTTAGCTGCTCATAGTAAAGATCTTTTATTTCGTCGTCCTTGTCTTCTGACGGTGCATGAATATTGATTATACTCCAATTCCTTTTCTTACTTTTAATTCGTATTGAACACATCCTATCAGAGATAGGATTAAAAGCTATCACTTTGTCCTTGATACATTCAGCTACTAAAAAACCAGTTCCAAGCATTCTATCTTTACCTCCACTTTTGAAGAGCACCATATCTTCTATATCAGTTATTTCCGATCCTAATTGTTTTGTCTCTTGAAGAGCCATTAAATCGATTTTATACTTCCTTGCCTCATTCATTAGTTCTTTTAGCGCACCTTCATAAAAGGTTCCTCTGACATTCCATGTAGCTAAATGTATCTTGTCATTCTTCGGCTTTACCTTTGTATTACTGTCTTGTTTTGTTTCGTTTTCATAGTTCGTAATCCTTTTCTTCGCATTGTTCGTCTTCATTTCTTTCCTTTTCATGCTGGTGCTTAGTTTTTTGCTTTGGTCTCTACCACCAACGTTTGGTTCATGCCATCCCAGCGCCATATTTCCTGATCGGAATATATTTTCTTATATCCTACTTTCACTTTTCTCCCTTCCTTTCTTAGTTCTTGCGCTTTCTGTCTGACATATTTCTGTACAATTCTATCCTTCTTTGACAGGTCATCATTGATATAAACTAGACTTTTTCTTCGGTTTCTTAATTTGCTTTTGTTTCGCATGACTTTTCTTTTGTCCTCTTCCTTTTCAAGCTCAACCAGACAGACTTTTTCTCCCAGCTTCACAACCTTCTCTATTTGAACATCGACTGCTAATTCTACCTGCATAAATTTTTTTATTTCATGTTTTAGAGTCTCTGGGACATTTGTATCTATGTTCAGGCCTTGTATAACTATATTTTTACGCCTTTTTCCATTTTCCAAACTTTCAAGCCGTTCTTCTATTTGAAAAACTACCTTTTTTAGTTTTGTGTTTTCCTCTCTTAATGTTACATTCTCTTGTCTTAACTGTCTTATTTCTTCTCTATATTCTTTTGTTCTCTACGAATTTCGCTGAGTTCTCTTGATTGTTCTTCTATCTTCTATACTCACTCCTGTCATCATTTCCATAATTTTTTGTACATTTTCTTCCATTTTCTCCTTTTTGTTGATGGGAGATCTCCCTATTTTACGATTTTTGGTGAAAGCGTGTTGTAACTCTTCCTCTTGATCTCCTTTGTTTTTTTTGTGTTTTCGTGTTCTTTGTGTTTTTATTGGCATTTATTCCCTTTGATAATAAAGAAACTCGTACAGAGAGACAAACAACAGATAAATTAGCTCCTATCCGAAACTTTTTTGAAACTTCAACACCAATTTGCCAAAACACTACAGCATGTCAAACTATTGTACAGTTGATGAAAAATTAGAAGCACGCTTACAACACCCTTTGGAAAGTGTTGTGGGTTCAAGGTTTATATGCCAAAAAAACTAAATAGGTACAGTATAAAAAGATATTCCTTGACTGATGCTAAATTAGCTTAGAAATTTATGTTGGTCAGCGACCACAGAGACCCTACCAGCAAACCACAAACACTTTGCATTTAGTAGTATGTTTGTGCAGACCTATCTGGGGTACAAATAGAAATGTTACTCTTGATAGTTTTTTTTACCACTAAGCAGCTAGCTGATACATTATTGGCCAATCATCAGCTAACTATAATTGGAACTATTCTAAGAAATAAGCTAGAACTGCCTTTGGAGTTTACGGCACCTGTCAATAGGCCTACTTCTATGCACTATTGTTTCGTATATTCCAAAACTGGAAAAGTTGTCCTCATGTCAACTATGCATTATGAAGATGATATGTTGGATCCACAGACTGGTAAGCATAACATAATAATTGATTACAACACAACCAAAGGAGGAGTGGACACTATTAATAAGATGAGTGAAAGCTACAATTGTGCAAGATCGACTAATTGTTGGCCCATGGTGATTTTTTATGCAATATTGAATATCGCTGGCATAAATTTACTTACAACACACAAGTGTAATTCTGCTCGGACGGCCCAACGCATAACACTTAGAAGATAATTTTTAGAGAAAACGGGTATGCAATTGCTTGAACCATATGCAAGATGTAGAGCAATTGCAACAAACATGCGATGTATGATAAGTATGCGACTCAGAGAAATGTTTCATATCACGTTGAATATGCAAAATATTGGAAAACCTCATGGTCATTGTTTTTACTGTGGAAGCCAGAAAAGTCGAAGAACAAAGTACAGTTGTTACTCGTGTAATAAATTTATAGTTTAGAACATTTAAAGGTATATGTGTGGAATGTTCAGAAAAAGATTGACTTTTTTTAATATTAAAGTTAGGTCGTATTCTTTTAATATACTAGTACTTTTTTTAACTACTTACTTTTATCACGTGTTTCTTTTTCTTCAAATGGTATGAATTTATCTTCATATGGTTCGTTTTCTGTCTTTATAGAGTTCTCTTTTAATACTAAATAATCAAATCCATCATTTGTAGCTTCCCTCTTGGGCTCCTCGTTAATTTCAAATTTAAGGGTATCAAAAAGAGCACCTCCCTTATTGTCTATTTCTTCTTTACATGTGTATTCGTTTTCATTAACTTCTTGTTTCACTTCCATTTTATTTAACTCAATTTTATCATTTTCACAATCCATCATTACTTGTGTTGTGAGCAGTGAGCACACAACAGTCATGTCATAAGTCAAGTCACAACTGAACAGACCGTCTTGAAAACCGTTGACATTGACATACATCAATCGTGCTGTCAACCATAGACAGGTTTGTTTCTTATTCACGAGTATTTATTTAACAAGAACTATCCCTTTACTCGTTCTTCTTCTTCATGTGCGGTCTCCTCTAAGAAAGTCGGCAACCATTATGGCTATTCTCACTTTCGATAACGCTGCTCTAAAGACGTCAGCACAAGTGCAGTTAAACCAAGCTCTCAAATTTTTTTACCAGGAGATGCGTCTTCTTCCGCGACCCCTTCTACCCTGTATTCTTCCTTGAATTTATTAATTGCAACAAGTTATAACGCTCGCCCCTCATGTCCCAGATATTGCAGTTTTCTGTCTTTAACAGTATTTAAAACCTCTTCTCACATTATTCTCAACACCTCGACATTCATGACTCTATGCACCCAACTTATTCTTAATATCCTTCTGTAAAATATATAACTCCAAGGCTTCTAATCTGTCCGAAACATCTTTCTTTAATGTCCAAGCCTCCAACCCATTAAATAATACGAAGAACACGTAGCATCTCAGAAGTCTTATTTTAAAGAAATTGAAATGTCCCTGCTGCAGAGTACTTTTTTCAGTTTGTTGAAAGAATTTCTTGCATTAATCTCTTATGTGTACTCATTAATTTCGTTAATTATTGTACCATTGCATATATATTTTTCAACTTTTTTAATTTGTTTTCCATGTATTGTTATGTTTTCTTGGTTGGGCGTTTGTAGTTACCATAAATTGTGTCTTTTTTGTGTTTAGGGACAGTCCGTTTTCTTCACTGACTTCTACCACTCTGTCAACCATTTGTTGTAAATTCTCAAGACATTCCGCTAATAAAATAGTCTCGTCGGCAAACCGTATATTATTGATTGGTCGGCAATTTACTTTTATTCCCATAGTTAGTTCTTCTAGTGCTTCCTGGATTATGTCCTCCGAATACAAATTGAACAAAGTAGGAGACAGGACACAGCCCTGCCTGACGCCCCTCTCAATCTGTATTTAATTTGAAAAGACGTTGTTCTCTTTTACCACAGCGATCTGATGTCTAAGTGTATCTAATATCTGTTTTTCTTTTCACGTAATTCGATAAGACTTTTATGTCTGACCTTATCGAAGGCTTTGTTGTAATCCAAGAAACACACACACACATATATATATATATATATATATATATATATATATATATATATATATATATAATATATATATATATATATATATATATATATATATATAATATATATTGACTGATTAACATCCATGCACCTTTGCACAAGTACATTTACAGCGAACAGGGCTTTTCTCGTTCTCATTGACTTTCTAAATCCAAATTGTGTGTTACTTATGTCCTGCTCAAGTTTGTTGTGTATTCTCCGGTGTATAATTTTTAAAAATATTTTGAGCGTATGACTCATTAAACTTATTATCCGGTGGTCTTGGCATTCTTTTGCATTTGGTTTTTTTGGTAGTGTTATGAATGTTGACATAAGCCAATCTCTGGGAATGTTTGCTGTACTGTATATTGTATTGAATAAGTCGACCAATATTCCAATTTGCTGTTCTTCTATTAGCCGTATTATGTTTACAGGTATTTTGTCAAGACCTGTTGCCTTGTTGTTCTTTGGTCACTTTATCGCCTCTAATACTTCATCTTCTGTTATGTTTGGGCCGTTGTCGAACTTTTCTTGCTCTAGTACTATTTCAGTAGCTCTTTAATATATTCCTATCATCACTTAAGCCTTTCACCGACGTCTATAGTTATTTTGCCGTTTTTATCCAGCAGTATGTTTTATTTTTTCTTAATATTAGTGCCTGTTATTTCCCTAATTTTTTATGAAGGTTTAAGTTATCATGTTTCTCTACCAACTGTTCAATCTCTTCGCATCTGTCACTATATCATATTTCCTTTGCATCTCTGATATTTCTCCTTATTTCTGTGTGTATAATATTATACATGTTTTTGACTTTGGTTTTATAAGATCTCCTTGCTTCCATGAGATCCAGAATCTCATCCGACATCCATTCATTTTCGTTCTTGATCAGCTTAGGTGTTAGTGTTGTCTCACATGTCGTATAAGGGCATCTTTTAACATATGCCATTTCCTGTTCGCATCTTCAGTAGGAATAATGTCTATTTTGGTGAGCTCTAATTTTTAGTGAGACTTGCTCTTTTGTTGATGGATCTCCCAAACGGGATACTTGTATCCCCTCTACTTTAGTTTTAGCCACAACTGGGTTGTGATCTAATCTCAAATCAGCTTCGGGGTATGATTTCACTGATTTTGTGGAATTTCGGTATCGTTTGCAGATGAGAAGGTAGTCAATTTGGTTTCTGATGACGTTATGTTGGTTGCCTGCTGGAGATTTCCATGTATAGAGAGTCTCCTGGGCGACAGACCATAATAAGTATTCGCGACAATAAAATCAGTATCTTGGCAGAATTGAGCCAATATGTCTTCTCTCTCATTACGGGTGCCCAATCCAAAGTTTCCAATAAAATCACCTTGACTTCCTCTACCGATTTTTGGATTTAGATCTCCCATGACTAATGTAACGTCTCTAGACTTGGTTACTTCTAAAGCTTGTTGTAATTCATTATAAAACTGTTCGAGCTCGGTTGAGCTGTTTTTATTGTTACCATCATAACTCTATCCGAGATGTGTAAGAAGCCAGTTACAAATTTCTGGGTAGTTTTGTCAACTAATATCGCTACTCCGTTCCAGTGATTTCCGTCATTGTCATTACCAGGGTAGTATATCTTTGTTTGGCCTACTGATATGTCACCTGAATTGGGCCATCTGGTCTCACTTAGTCCTAATATCTTTATGTCAAGTCTTTCCATTTCCTGAATGACATTATGGACTTTACCTGCTTGGTATATTGACTTAACATTCCACGTGCCTATCTTCATATACTTTCTGTCAATGTTATTGGGCGATGTGTTACTAATGGGTATTTCACAGGGATTTAGTTTGATATCGACCTGAGAGGCCCTGTGGTCTATGTGTGATTTGCCTCCCCTGCCGAATCTTGGCCTCCGATATCCATGATCAGTAACAGAGTTACTTTTTTGTACAGCCAAGACAATTGTACTAGGGATATCTGTGTAGAATCTTTAATGTAGTGGTTTCCCCTTGCCTTCTACATTCTTATGCCGTTGACAGTTTTTTTTTGTTCATCCGCCTTCGAGGCCGATTTCTCAACCCCAGGACAAAATAGTGCCCTACCACTCACCAACTCATCCGCCCGAAGCCGTTGTTCGGTAAGTGGGAGACTGCTTATACCGGCAATCACTCGGTGAAATTTTTACCATATCTGACTACCCTCACATATTTTAGCCTGTAGACCAATGCAGTTGCCTGGAGTGTTGCTCGTGGAGCCATAAGTGAGAGTTAGTTGTCTTATGAAGACCAGTTATCAAGAACCATCTCCTGTCTATGACGCTTGATGTGGTCGTTCGGATAAAAGGTGCTACCTCTATAAAATAAACCCTTACACCCTTTACTCGTTAAATAGTTGCAATTAAACCGATGACCACCTGTCATCGGTTTACCATAAAGGAGTTTTAAACTATGTTTTCTCAAACATTTAATAAAAACCCTTATATCGGGATGTAAGTAACATGTATTTAATTTCAATTTTCACTAAATCATTTTTTACTTAATTTTTATTTAATTAATTTAAATTCATACTTAATGAATCGCACATATATAATATTGGCATAATTGCTATATATTTTGTATAATACCACACATTACCCTAATATATAAGGGACAAGATCTATGCGAAATTTTACCTACCGACCTACTGGTAATCCCGTATTGATACCTATTGTAACACAGATCCCCAGAGAGACATTTACATAGTTGTACTAATCTGTATCCAACTTTCAAATAAAATTATCGGAGAAAGTGTTGAATTTGGAATTATTAATTTGTGTACTTAAATGCTTTTACCAATTGATCGAAATACTGATTATTTTTAAAGTAAACTACCTCATAATATTTAGAAAAATTTACCTTCACCTTTTTTCAAAATTAGGACTGGCAAATAACAGTTTTTTCAGTCACGAAAATAAAAATTTTCTTTTGGTGGATTTACAAGTTTTTTTATTAAACGTGCGTCTTATTAAAAGTTCGTCAATGAACACTTAATATTAATATATTATACAGTGAGGTCCTAAAGTAACAGATAAATGTATTTTCTACGTAATTATAAAGTACCTAGATGAAAACTACTGAACCAAGTGGATTTTTACTCACAATAATATACATATACAATATACAAATCATCAGTAAATATCCATCACCATCCTAATATAATCTAATTAACAAAAACACCAATATATTTTTTTCACACTTTATTTGCATTAATAAAAGATTTAGATGTAGCAACTAACTTCAAGCTGTAAATATGCGCGTACTTCATACTGTGATTTTTATAAAAATTCACTCTCATTAATTTTAATTTTAATTTTAATTGCTACTAAATATTCGTTTAAAAGCAATAAAAAATGAATATAGCCATAAAATAGGTAACCGATAAAAACTTATTCTATGTCAAAAATAAATGTTGTCTCTCCGAAAATATAGTACCTACATACTTATGCATTTTATATACATGGTGGTCATTAAGTATATATATATATATATATATATATATAATATATATATATATATATATATATATTTATATATATATATATATATATATATATATATATATGTGACATAAATTTGCACCTACTTTTTTGCTCTTTAAGTTACCGGTATTTCTGATAAAAATTTGTGGCAACACTTCGTTGTGACTCCAATTTTTTTGGATATTGCCACTGCATATAAAGTGATGCAACAGTAAAAAAATGCACCAAAATTAATTGAAATGATATATATATATATATATATATATATATATATATATATATATATATATATATATATACAAATAACACAGTTTATT